AGCAAGCCAGGAATTAGAGAATAAAGGCGAAAAGATTAGTCTAGTTCAGTCAGCCAAACTGAGGTAAGCAACTCTTCGTTGTAGACACTCTGAGGCACTTTCGTCCCGTTTTCCATAAAAAGTTAACAAGTTTTGAAGTTTTCTTTCGGTTAGTAAGAACAGCCGCTTCATAAATTGCTAAAATTTCTTCTATTACGGTTGGAAACCATGAAAGGTCAAGAAACCGGGGTTTGCTAAGTTATATTTAAAGCGGTGATTTGCATTTTGTCTTTAGAAAGTATGGAGATTTCCTCGTTTTGTTTGTCCAATTTATTCGATGTGGCAAAATGCTTGGGTGAATTTCCGTGTTAAAAGTCAAGAAGCCATTGGAAAGCCATTAAAACAACTGCACAGCCGTGAACAGCGTGAATAATCCTTAATTTTTTTTTTTGGAAATTTTGGACGCACTCAGATGTAGTGATACAGTCAAACCCGTACATAACGGCCCTGTATATAGCGGTCACCTTGTGGATAACGGTCAGTGAACAACTTCCCAAAAATCGTCCCTTATAATTACTTTTAAGTTGACCTGCATATAGCGGTCACCTGTATATAACGGACGCGGTCACCCTTTAGACTTCCTGAATCCTCAATTTCATTATCTTTTACCTGTATATAACGGTCACGAAATACAAATATTAGCACTAAGCACAACTACTAATACATGTCATCGCCTACGTCCGCACATGCTTGCGGCAGATAACATTAAAGTGCCGTCGCTTTCAAATAATAGTTACTGTAACTGTAACAACACAAGTGTACCACACTGTTTTCACTTTCGTCATAGTTCCCTGATTATAACACTGTACTGTACTTATCTGTTTCAAATTGTTGTCAATAAATGTAAATTGAGTGATTTTCCACTTAAAAACGTTGTTCATTAGCTTTCAGTAGACCTTTACTGCACCTCCCTGAAAGTACACCACGGACATTTTAAAGGCCTTTTTTATCGTGTTTGGTGCATTGTTGTTGCTCGTTAGTCAATAAAACGTAAATTGAGGGATCATTTGGACATAAAAATTCTTTTTATTGACTTCCGTGGGAGTTTAAAGGAAACCTGTGTACAGCGGTCACCCTGTATGTAACGGTCACCTGGCCATTTCCCAAGGGTGACCGTTACATACAGGTTTGACTGTATGCAGATTGCGTTTATTTAGACTCCTCGGGTTTTTAGCGAGTTTGTTTGTTTGTTTGTTATTGTTGTTGTTGTTCAATTCATTCAGTTTGGTGAAATGCTCTTTGGTGAATTTCTTTGAAGGCCCAGTAGGTGATTAGTATTTCAAAGGAGATCCGCTTTTAGGCTTGGCGAAATCTCTATGTTAATAATCATAACAAAATCATCAAGTGGTGCAAGTTTTAGAAAATTTTAAACACCCCTTTTAGATGGAATAAACTTTTCTCAACTTAAGCGTAGTGCGTAAACATGCCAGTAAAATGGCCTAATGCTTTATCGTACCATTCAAAAGTATGGTAAATAAATGATCTTATTATATGGCTTTGGTTTGTGGCCGATATATAACACGCGCTCTGATTGGCTAAGAGCGAGATCTTAGCGGTCATTATGCAACCGTAATGCCCACGGGCCGATTACTGATTATACAAATTAGGAAAATCCCGGCTCTGAAAATTCAAGTGCATTGAAACGATGAAAATCGATTAAAAACAGTAAGAGGAAGTAAATTGAATCCCGAGTAGCTAAAAGTTTAGAGATTTTTCCTTAATAAAATTTATATAGAAGCCTTTTTTGACTTAGCAGCCGGTAACCTTGGCGGTACTAGTGAAAAATAATCAAAGTTTGCCGAGTCTTAAGTAAAGCTAAAATCGCTAAAGTGAAAAACACCCTCAAGAAATTCATAAGTTATCATCTTAGTCACAACAATTACCGAAATATTGAACTACTTCACAGTTCTCATCAAATAGATTCCCTCGCTTTAGCACAAGCAAGTGTAAATCAGCTTCCAGGATCATCAGCTGTAAACAGTCCGGCGGTTTCTGTCGGCAGCAGTGTTTCTGATAACTGCAGGAAGTTTTAGACGTTCACAAGGCTTGAAAAGTTCATCCATAAATCCCAGAATGAAGAAGGCGAAGATATGTTGTCGAAAGCAAATGCGAAGTTCGAGTTATTCTGAGCAGTGCATTCTGAAGCAATAGTACTTTCTTTCACCGAAAGACCGTCAACGTTGGTTTGGACTATTTTGAAGCATTTTCTGTCTTTTCTTTATGCGTTGACGTTTCGCCACAAAAGTCGGAAAAACTCCCCCATCAAGTTGTGGCAACACGATACTAAAGTACCTTTTTGAGGCTGTGACAATCATTTTTCCCGCAAGGAAATGTTTGTTTTTAACGGAATACGTAATAACAATAACAATACCAATACCAATACCAATACCAATACCAATACCAATACCAATACCAATACCAATAACAATAACAATAACAATATCAATAACAATAACAATAACAACAACAACAACAACAACAACAATAACAATAACAATAACAATAACAATAACA